CTTGGGGGCAAAGAATGCTTGAACTTGCTCTGAAAGATAAAAGATAGTAAATTATTATTTACTCTTTAAGACTTTAACCCTTTCCCAAACTTCAAGTTTCAATTCTGGTAGCCAGTTACTGCACTATGCTCAGAGTCTACAATTTAGAAGTTTACGACATAGGGCCATCATTAGTTGAAATATTGCCCCTGAGAACCTTAAACCTTTTAGAAATTCATAATGATATTTGACAACATTTTTTTTACAACGTTTTAACACCATTTACATAAACCTTAAACCTTTTATTTCAATTTTTTTACTAAAGCTTAATAAAAAATTGTGGAATGATTTTCAGACCAGAAAATTTTCAAGACACGTTTTGAAGATGAAGGTTACATACTTAAAATCTTTTCAATTGCAATGGCGAGTGTACTCGAGTCTAGCTCATCCTCAGTTATAACAGTCACACCAGCTAAGTCTGCCATCAAGGACGCATTTCTGAACTGATTCCCCTCAGAGAAATATGGCGAAGGTATCTGCAAATAATAATTCAACAAAAATGTCATCGTTTTCCTTTGTTATGAGCTGCAGATCCAACTTAAAAGGAAAAGTATATGCTTTTACACAGTATAATTGTTCAGCTCAATGCGTCTGAACTATTATTACATTCATTTTTAAATAAGAATCCGAATGAATAAAACAAACGAGTAAAAAACAAAATTTAACTACCAGGATTGATGGTTTTCCAGTTGCCAATATTTCATAGCAAGTCATTGCGCCAGCTCTAGAAACAATCAAGTCTGCTGCTGCATATGCCAAATCCATACAATGCATGAACCTTCATAAAAGGGGATATGTCAGATAAGCTATCACTAAACCAAACCTCAGTTGCAAGTGAGATATAAAAGAATGCAGAAAAAACTAGTACTGACTTTTCATTTGAAAATGATGTCCATGATGACGACTAATTTTAAGGATTTTCATTGATGCTTTGTAAAATGTGGATCCTAATAACAGAAATCCTATATAAAGTATCCATTATATTGAATCAAGGAATTTTGAACTGGTCCTACATAAACACATTAAAACAGAAATCCCATTCATGTCAATTTCAAAATGCACTATGCACTAGCAGAGTGGTCTCGCACCAGGAAGCGCACTAACGATAATTGATTGGACTTTTTGATCATGAAGTGGGTTGAGTTTTGAAAAGTATTCAAGCAAAGAAACGATTTTCACATATCAACTCCAAAAAAATCCTTTTTTTCCTGTATTTCCGCAGCCAGAGTCATAACACTTATAATAACAATTCCATGTAAAGATGTCACTTTGGAAAATTGAATAGTCAATTTTTGCGGAATTGTTATATAATATGTCAGATCACGTTCAATATTACCACACAATGGAACAGGGTAATCATGATTAGTTTCTCTCTGCAGAAGATAGTTTTACTCTGCTTTGTATTTAATTACTTGTTAGCTGCAGCTGTTACAGATTGGTGAGTATGTCACCGAAGTGAAAGGAGCAAGTGAGCAATTTGATAAATTCTACCCGTATTGCAACTAAACAGGGTCTGTTGCATGATCAAATAATGCTACTATGATCTATCAAAAAAATAGAAAATCAATCTCCCTCTTGTGAATATATCTGCATAGTTCCATGCAGTAGTCTTACAGAAAAGGCAAACGCAGTTACGAGTTTTGAGAAGCACTCACGGTGTCATATACAAGCGTGGATGACTCTTGACAAGGCTATCCATTTCATCAAAGGCTTCAACCCCAGTTTGCCATATAATACGCAAACCGCTATCCCGTCTCAGCATCTGATAGTACAAATTCAGCATCGCAATGTTAACTGAATTGGCGCCATAGGAGCCAGCAAGCACCAACAAAACCCTGCCACCACAATCCAAACCCGGAAAAAAATGACAGGTGGCGGTTTCCTTGGAGACGAGGTTCCTAACAGAGAATCTAACGGGGTTGCCACACACGAAACACTTGTTCCTGGGAAAACTGTCGAGGGTGGAGTTGAAAGCAACGAAGATGGCGTCGGCGAGGGGGGAGAGGAGGGTGTTGGAGAAGCCAGGGACGGAGTTGGGCTCGTGGATGACAACGTTGGTGCCTCGGAGCTTGGCGGCGAGGCAGGCCGGGAAAGAAACGTAGCCGCCAGTGCTGACGAGAACGTGGGGTTGGAAGCCTCGGAGGTGGCAGAGGCATTGGAGAAGAGAGTTGAAGAAACGGTGAGGGAAGAAGAAAGGGTTGGTGTCGGGTGGTGCGGGGACAGAGGCGAAGTCGTAGCCGGCGGAGGAGATTGCGGCGCTTTCCACGCTGTTGGGGGCGCCGAGGAAGAGAAACTGGCCGGTGGGGTTCAGGGATTTGAGCTCCTCCGCGATTGCCACCGCAGGGTAGATGTTGCTGCCGGTGCCGCCGCCGGCGAAGGCCACACGGAGAGGGTCGTTGGAGGTAGGTGATGAAGAGTGGCATGTGATGGAGAGCCTTGTGGGGTGGGGTGATGGTGGTGTTTGGAATCGGAAACTGCGAAAGGGTGTGGAGAAGAAGGAGAAGGAAACAGTGGTGGTGGCAGCCATTGACGCATGTGCTTGATCAAGTTGAAGATGACAACACTACCTCCATTCTACCATTTTTCAACTTTGTACTAGGAAAGTTTCAACTACTTTTTCTTTTAAGGAAAAGTTTTAACTACCTAGTCATTATTTACATGGTTAGAAGTTACAGTTATTTACCGTTATTATGGAGTGAAGATTAGAATAGTATGATTTTGACTTATAATATCACATGTCTATAATTAGGAAAATGTTATTTTCTCTAAACAATAATAAGATATTGAATTAAGTTATTTATTATAAAATTAATAAAATGAGTTATAGGTTAGTGGTATGATATTATAAGGTTATCAATCACATGGGTTGGGGAAGAAACTAATATTAGTTAAATGTTTAGGAATATGTGGTAGATATACTTTTTGTCATATAGTAATTAAAAAAATCTTCGGCGCGTTATTGACTAAATTATTTTAATTCTAAAGTATTATTCAAACAAGTATTAGCAATTTTTTTCAAAAAAATATATTAAATAATTTATACGGTAAGATATAGTAAATTTAATTTCTTTAATAATAACTATAATTCTTTAAATGTAACTAAAAATAAATATATAAGTTATAATTCATCAATTATCATAAAAACTTTAACAAATTTATTTTCTTATATAAAAAAAATACTCCTATAAACATAAAAAATCACTTATTTATAAGTTATAATATTTCCAAAAGTATTGTAGTATCCTCTATTTCAAACGAAAAACGTTAACTGCCTAATCGTGGAACTTCACATTATTAATTAATTAAATTTAAATACATTATCATTTACAATTAATTTTAATTTTCCTTAAAATGTTGAAAAAATATTAAAAGTACGTGTACATGAATTGAAATGGTAATTTAGTCAATGAAAGGTGACGTATGCAGTGTTGTTTAATGTGTGTGACTTTGACTTGTGAGAAACGACATAGCAGCATTATGAATTGAGTTCTGAATAATGTGTTTTGGGTTTAATTTATTAAAACTTATGAAATGATTATTATGTTTGTTTATTTAGTTACAAGTTAAACTCCTTTAAATTACTCAAGAAATACTTACTTGCTAAAAAATAAGATAATTATTTTAAGTAATATAATTATATTATTGTACTGAAAATTTAGTAAAAGAATGTTTTCAACCTATACACTACTTGAAAGCGTAATAATATCTAAATTACTTAGGCATTCAAATTATTAAATAGGATCAATTTCATAATCAGGTATATATAAAAAGTATAATATTTTATGAAACTATCTAGATATTTTAGGACCTATCTAGATAATTCTCCATGGTTTTTTCTAATATTAAAATATCAATAATTATATGATGAATAAGTGACTAAAATACAGAACAAAATAAAAAATAGTTAAACTCCACTGAGTTTAAATTATATCTAAATTATTATAATATATATTGATAGAGAATCTCTTACTCTTTCTTGTATTTTTTTACTGTAACATTATAACTCTCATGAATATTATTTGATTTTTTTATTCTGAGTCAACTTGAAAATTTTAATTCATACTAATATTCCTAACAGCATTTGCACGTTCTATTGAACGATCCCTGTAATATTTTTTTCTTACAATGAAAATAAGAAACGAAGATGAAAGATGCGATTAAAGAAAGAAGAATTAGAAAGTAGTAGAAAGAAAGCAGAGCCAGATTTCAAAAATGATAAGTGTTGGGAAATATTATATAAACAGAAACATGAACATCATATTTCATGGACGCTGTTGATACGTGACTGACTTACATACCAGCCTTCTATGTAAGAAAAAAAAACATAAAAAATTATCAAAAATACCCAACATGATAACATGAAACCTGTTTAGTTTTTTGGTTTTTTTAGCCATTTGTCCATTTGTCACTCAAAATTTCTTACTCTGCCTTCTTCTTCAACTTATATTACTTTTCCAGTTTTTCATTTTCTTATTAGGTTTCAACTTATTCTTTAAAGTTTGTTTTTCTATTTTTTTTTGGGTAACTATCAAATTAAAAGCTAAGTCTTCTTTAACCATATTTCTTTTCGTCTCAGTGTTAAATGAAGTTGTTTTTGGTTATTATGTTATCCTTTTTAGCTTTATTTTTTAGTTTTTATATAATGAATTTTCAATTATTGTTTTGATGGAATGATCGGATTGAACATACTAGACAGTTAAATAAAATGATAAATAATTAAGCTGACATGATAGTTATGATGAACGAGTTGGTCAAGCTAGCTTGATGGACATACGACGAAATGACCAAGATAGACAGGTTGGTCAGGATGGAGATAATGGATTGGACTAACTAGATGACCGAGATGGATGAGTTGGCTGATCTATCAAAACTACCTTGAATAGGCGATATGGACAAAATGGTCAGACTGATAGGATGGTCGAATGGTCAGATTGGTTGTGATGGATAGACTGACGGAATTGCTAAGATCTATCGGTATATAGAATAAATAATATAATATGAAGAAGATGACGTTGGTTGTTAGTTTNTGCATATGCCAAATCCATACAATGCATGAACCTTCATAAAAGGGGATATGTCAGATAAGCTATCACTAAACCAAACCTCAGTTGCAAGTGAGATATAAAAGAATGCAGAAAAAACTAGTACTGACTTTTCATTTGAAAATGATGTCCATGATGACGACTAATTTTAAGGATTTTCATTGATGCTTTGTAAAATGTGGATCCTAATAACAGAAATCCTATATAAAGTATCCATTATATTGAATCAAGGAATTTTGAACTGGTCCTACATAAACACATTAAAACAGAAATCCCATTCATGTCAATTTCAAAATGCACTATGCACTAGCAGAGTGGTCTCGCACCAGGAAGCGCACTAACGATAATTGATTGGACTTTTTGATCATGAAGTGGGTTGAGTTTTGAAAAGTATTCAAGCAAAGAAACGATTTTCACATATCAACTCCAAAAAAATCCTTTTTTTCCTGTATTTCCGCAGCCAGAGTCATAACACTTATAATAACAATTCCATGTAAAGATGTCACTTTGGAAAATTGAATAGTCAATTTTTGCGGAATTGTTATATAATATGTCAGATCACGTTCAATATTACCACACAATGGAACAGGGTAATCATGATTAGTTTCTCTCTGCAGAAGATAGTTTTACTCTGCTATGTATTTAATTACTTGTTAGCTGCAGCTGTTACAGATTGGTGAGTATGTCACCAAAGTGAAAGGAGCAAGTGAGCAATTTGATAAATTCTACCCGTATTGCAACTAAACAGGGTCTGTTGCATGATCAAATAATGCTACTATGATCTATCAAAAAAATAGAAAATCAATCTCCCTCTTGTGAATATATCTGCATAGTTCCATGCAGTAGTCTTACAGAAAAGGCAAACGCAGTTACGAGTTTTGAGAAGCACTCACGGTGTCATATACAAGCGTGGATGACTCTTGACAAGGCTATCCATTTCATCAAAGGCTTCAACCCCAGTTTGCCATATAATACGCAAACCGCTATCCCGTCTCAGCATCTGATAGTACAAATTCAGCATCGCAATGTTAACTGAATTGGCGCCATAGGAGCCAGCAAGCACCAACAAAACCCTGCCACCACAATCCAAACCCGGAAAAAAATGACAGGTGGCGGTTTCCTTGGAGACGAGGTTCCTAACAGAGAATCTAACGGGGTTGCCACACACGAAACACTTGTTCCTGGGAAAACTGTCGAGGGTGGAGTTGAAAGCAACGAAGATGGCGTCGGCGAGGGGGGAGAGGAGGGTGTTGGAGAAGCCAGGGACGGAGTTGGGCTCGTGGATGACAACGTTGGTGCCTCGGAGCTTGGCGGCGAGGCAGGCCGGGAAAGAAACGTAGCCGCCAGTGCTGACGAGAACGTGGGGTTGGAAGCCTCGGAGGTGGCAGAGGCATTGGAGAAGAGAGTTGAAGAAACGGTGAGGGAAGAAGAAAGGGTTGGTGTCGGGTGGTGCGGGGACAGAGGCGAAGTCGTAGCCGGCGGAGGAGATTGCGGCGCTTTCCACGCTGTTGGGGGCGCCGAGGAAGAGAAACTGGCCGGTGGGGTTCAGGGATTTGAGCTCCTCCGCGATTGCCACCGCAGGGTAGATGTTGCTGCCGGTGCCGCCGCCGGCGAAGGCCACACGGAGAGGGTCGTTGGAGGTAGGTGATGAAGAGTGGCATGTGATGGAGAGCCTTGTGGGGTGGGATGATGGTGGTGTTTGGAATCGGAAACTGCGAAAGGGTGTGGAGAAGAAGGAGAAGGAAACAGTGGTGGTGGCAGCCATTGACGCATGTGCTTGATCAAGTTGAAGATGACAACACTACCTCCATTCTACCATTTTTCAACTTTGTACTAGGAAAGTTTCAACTACTTTTTCTTTTAAGGAAAAGTTTTAACTACCTAGTCATTATTTACATGGTTAGAAGTTACAGTTATTTACCGTTATTATGGAGTGAAGATTAGAATAGTATGATTTTGACTTATAATATCACATGTCTATAATTAGGAAAATGTTATTTTCTCTAAACAATAATAAGATATTGAATTAAGTTATTTATTATAAAATTAATAAAATGAGTTATAGGTTAGTGGTATGATATTATAAGGTTATCAATCACATGGGTTGGGGAAGAAACTAATATTAGTTAAATGTTTAGGAATATGTGGTAGATATACTTTTTGTCATATAGTAATTAAAAAAATCTTCGGCGCGTTATTGACTAAATTATTTTAATTCTAAAGTATTATTCAAACAAATATTAGCAATTTTTTTCAAAAAAATATATTAAATAATTTATACGGTAAGATATAGTAAATTTAATTTCTTTAATAATAACTATAATTCTTTAAATGTAACTAAAAATAAATATATAAGTTATAATTCATCAATTATCATAAAAACTTTAACAAATTTATTTTCTTATATAAAAAAAATACTCCTATAAACATAAAAAATCACTTATTTATAAGTTATAATATTTCCAAAAGTATTGTAGTATCCACTATATAACAAACGAAAAACGTTAACTGCCTAATCGTGGAACTTCACATTATTAATTAATTAAATTTAAATACATTATCATTTACAATTAATTTTAATTTTCCTTAAAATGTTGAAAAAATATTAAAAGTACGTGTACATGAATTGAAATGGTAATTTAGTCAATGAAAGGTGACGTATGCAGTGTTGTTTAATGTGTGTGACTTTGACTTGTGAGAAACGACATAGCAGCATTATGAATTGAGTTCTGAATAATGTGTTTTGGGTTTAATTTATTAAAACTTATGAAATGATTATTATGTTTGTTTATTTAGTTACAAGTTAAACTCCTTTAAATTACTCAAGAAATACTTACTTGCTAAAAAATAAGATAATTATTTTAAGTAATATAATTATATTATTGTACTGAAAATTTAGTAAAAGAATGTTTTCAACCTATACACTACTTGAAAGCGTAATAATATCTAAATTACTTAGGCATTCAAATTATTAAATAGGAACAATTTCATAATCAGGTATATATAAAAAGTATAATATTTTATGAAACTATCTAGATATTTTAGGACCTATCTAGATAATTCTCCATGGTTTTTTCTAATATTAAAATATCAATAATTATATGATGAATAAGTGACTAAAATACAGAACAAAATAAAAAATAGTTAAACTCCACTGAGTTTAAATTATATCTAAATTATTATAATATATATTGATAGAGAATCTCTTACTCTTTCTTGTATTTTTTTACTGTAACATTATAACTCTCATGAATATTATTTGATTTTTTTATTCTGAGTCAACTTGAAAATTTTAATTCATACTAATATTCCTAACAGCATTTGCACGTTCTATTGAACGATCCCTGTAATATTTTTTTCTTACAATGAAAATAAGAAACGAAGATGAAAGATGCGATTAAAGAAAGAAGAATTAGAAAGTAGTAGAAAGAAAGCAGAGCCAGATTTCAAAAATGATAAGTGTTGGGAAATATTATATAAACAGAAACATGAACATCATATTTCATGGACGCTGTTGATACGTGACTGACTTACATACCAGCCTTCTATGTAAGAAAAAAAAACATAAAAAATTATCAAAAATACCCAACATGATAACATGAAACCTGTTTAGTTTTTTGGTTTTTTTAGCCATTTGTCCATTTGTCACTCAAAATTTCTTACTCTGCCTTCTTCTTCAACTTATATTACTTTTCCAGTTTTTCATTTTCTTATTAGGTTTCAACTTATTCTTTAAAGTTTGTTTTTCTATTTTTTTTTGGGTAACTATCAAATTAAAAGCTAAGTCTTCTTTAACCATATTTCTTTTCGTCTCAGTGTTAAATGAAGTTGTTTTTGGTTATTATGTTATCCTTTTTAGCTTTATTTTTTAGTTTTTATATAATGAATTTTCAATTATTGTTTTGATGGAATGATCGGATTGAACATACTAGACAGTTAAATAAAATGATAAATAATTAAGCTGACATGATAGTTATGATGAACGAGTTGGTCAAGCTAGCTTGATGGACATACGACGAAATGACCAAGATAGACAGGTTGGTCAGGATGGAGATAATGGATTGGACTAACTAGATGACCGAGATGGATGAGTTGGCTGATCTATCAAAACTACCTTGAATAGGCGATATGGACAAAATGGTCAGACTGATAGGATGGTCGAATGGTCAGATTGGTTGTGATGGATAGACTGACGGAATTGCTAAGATCTATCGGTATATAGAATAAATAATATAATATGAAGAAGATGACGTTGGTTGTTAGTTTTAACTCCAAATACATCAACATTGGCTATTAAATTCATTGGATAAGACTTAGATTTCTTGAAATTAAATCCTAATGGTGGTATTAAATAATTGAGTTAGAAAAAAAATAGAGTAATTCAAAGAAATCAAAGTCATGACGGGAAAAATACCAATGAAATATATCAATATCTTTATTTTAAAATTTTAAAATAATAAATTTATAAAAAAAATATTTTTATTTAAAGTGAAAGTTATAAATTTATATTTGAATTCTCAATAAAAATAGAGCAATTTTAGCGAGCGTGTATAGTGTGTTTGTTTTTATGTTGAAATCAACATTAAAACCGATTCTTACTACAATTTGTTTCAATTATAAGTTGTGAAAAATGTCATTGAAATTTTATATTTTTTAAAACATTTAAATATATTAAATTTATATTTTTCTCATCTCGAATTATTTTACATTTTATTTAAATAAGGTAATTATTTTTTATTTGATAAAGTATTTAAATTATTATTAAATGTAAAAAATTATTTAAATATTAAGAATGTTAATAATTAAAAAAATATCTATATTGATAATATTTTATAGTGAATATTAATTGATATTATTTTTTAGTCAAAGTTTGAGTTAATCATAAATGATATTGACTAAACTTTTTCTCCATTAATGTCAGTCAATATTATTTTCAGCTAACGGTGACAATAATTTTAAGTTGACATGAATTAAGTATATTTTTATTATATTGTTAATAGTGATTTTTTGCCTACTTTTTTTTTTATCAAGGTTAGGTTGATATTTTTTTTCTAATCAATATTATAAAAAGGAAATTCTAACAAACTTATTGATAAATAAATTAACGGTGAAAAAGATCTAATTGATATGTGTCTTAAATTAGGTTCTCTAAATTAACGGTGAAAACAGTAATTAACAACAAGAGAAAAACAATATTAATCTACAACAAATATAAAACCCTAACAATTAAAAAAACTTAATAATATAAAAAACTCAGTCAACATTAAAAGAAAGTAATAGTCATTCCAATGTTTCAATTTTAGTCAAAATGATAAGGTTCCAATTAAAATAAAGTTAAAAAAATAAAAAATAAAAAATAAAAAATAAAAACAGAAAATAAAAAATATAAACTATTATAAAAAATTCTTATTTATTAGTCAAAATTTAAAATAAGTTAATTTAAATAATTAAATTACTCATAAAATTATGATTTTTGAATTTCTTAAACATCGTCTTTTGTTCTAATATATGAAAATCTATAAAAACGTATTATTATTATTATTATTTAAAATTTATCATCCAAATGTACTAAGTAGGTAGTAAAAATAAATGTTAAAAATTAGAAAATTATAAAACATGACCTTTCTGTATAGTTTAAAGTCTACATTTTAAGTGGCAAATAAATGCTAAGACAGAGTCGTACCAAAGTCAACGCAAATGTTCATGTTTCTGTTTATAAATTTCACAGCATGCATCGTTTTGAAATCTGACTTTTAAAAATGGCTCTGCATTCTTTCTACTACCTTCTCATTCTTCTTGCTTTTATCACATCATTTTCCTTCACTCACGTCAATGCAGGTTCGTCTTCATTCCTTATTTTCATAGTGTTTTTCTTTTTATAAAAGTAAATCTAATTACAATTTAAATATTTAACTTTTTCAGGCATTTACGATAATTTTTAAAAATAAATTATTATTATTTCTACTCTACTCAACCGATGTTATTTAAGCAAGAGATAAAATTTAAACAATAATTTCTTTTTTCATGTTTTTGATAAGAAGTGATTTTTAAGCTTAACTTATTCTCACTGTGATTTTTAAAGTGAGATTTGCATCTTATAAATTAGTTTTATTTTTAGTGGACTTTCAATAAAATATTTATTATTATTTTTTCAATAAATTGCATCAATTTTTTCACAAAAATAATTATAATTATTTTTAACAGAGTTGGAGATTAAAAGAAAGCTTGGGAGGCTACCAAGGCCACCTCCACCTCCGATAGCAGCTCCGGGTCCCGGCACCTTCTCTATTTCCCATAACTTCTCCAAAGATCCATTTTGGTAAATAAGGATTATATTTTATTTATATATTATGATAATTTAATATGATTTAAACTTAATGGAATTTAACTATTTTTTCATAGAGTAAATTATATATTATAATAATTCATAGAGTAAAATATCCATTTGTTCTTATAAGTTTAATCGGTTTAACTTCTTTTAACAAAATAAATAAGTCATGGTTTTAATAAACAAACAAATATAGTTTTATTTTTACTGTCTGACCAAAACTGAATTCATAATGCTTGTAAAGGTTTCACAGCTCATCATGTCCTCACAAGTCAAACTCACAAACATTAAATAATATATTAGTTCTAATATTTTATCGAGATTTTTAAGAAATTAAAAGTTAAATATAAATGATAATGTATTTAAATTTTAAATATGAAAATTTTTCTAATTAACTTGCAAATAGGGCTATAAATGTGAATGCAATTTTTCATTTTTATAAACCATACATGTTAATCCAATTGATCTTTAATAACTAATGAAAAACAAGTGTTCATCTTGACTTTAATTTTTCATTGGTTTTCTCGAAGTTTGACTTTGCTGAATGCAAATTTTCTTTGTTTTTGGACAGAG